CATGTAAATGATTTTAATTAAGTAATTAATAAATTTAAATTTAATTTTTATATTTTTTATGTAAATTAATCATCCATGGAATTGAAAGATGATCAAAAGGACGATTGCATATGTGCTAATGTGTTACCGCGTTGTTTTTAGGCCGAGTGTTAAGTCTTTTCATTTTTTGGGAGGCCCATAGTCCGTCGGGCCGAGTGGTAAGTTTGGGTTAAATCTGAGCCATTTGGGTCAACCCAGATCTTATGGTCAATGGTCATTCCCGTTTTCTCTTTTTTTTTTGATTGACATTATAGAGAGGAAACAAACGAGGAAAAATGAAACACATACTTTAATTATAGAATTTTTCTGTTATGTGCCCTTAAAGGCACAAAATAAAAATGTAATAAATATATTTTTAATTAATTTTTATTAAAAATATAAATATTGACTTTAATTTAATTAATTAATCAATTAAAATTATCTATGTGTCAATCATGTTAAAATATATGTCAATTTTTATAATTTTTAATGTAAATTATTTATAAAAAAATATATTTATTACATTCTTAACTTATACTTAATTAGACACAATTCTTGTGGGTTCGACACTTTTCTTATTATTATATTATTTTAAGCGATTAGTACACTTGTTAAGATGATTTTAGTGCATCATCCATTTTTATAATTTTTAATGTAAATTATTTACAAAAAATACATTTATTACACTCTTAACTTGTACATTTAGAATATAAGTTAGACAAACCCTTAATTATATAGTTTTCATAATTTCATATTATTTTTTTACCCTCACTGAGCTGCTTGTGCAAACTCAAGCTTGTCTTTGTTCTCCAGATTAGTTCACCTCATTTATAAACTTAGTAATTACCAAATTACTAGATGCACAGATGGATTTATAGGGTAATTTCATTCAATAGTCTTAAAGTTAATTCTCAATATCAAATTATAAATATAGGCATTATTGGCCTTTAATAGATCCCCATTCTAGGTATTCTACCCTTCACTTGCACATCACAAATGCCCTTTCCTTGAAGGCCTATAAAATCCTCCTATTATCATTTTTCTGGAACAACATGAGTTATCCAATTGGTGTGGGACATGATAATTGGAAGACATGGGTAAGGGAAGGAAGAGGGGTAGGATCCAGTTGGTGGAAGGATATATGTAGGATAGATGTGTTGGTGGAGAATAAAAAGGGATGGCTCTCTGATGGATTTGAGGTGCTGGTGGGTGATGGAGGAGATTTAAGCTTTTGGAGGGACTTATGGTGTGGGGAGGAAGTCTTAGCTAACAAATTCCCAAGACTTTATTTGCTTTCTACTGGAACAAATAATAAGATAAGGCAAATGGGAGCCTGGATTGATGGTAAATGGTGTTGGATGTTACCATGGAGGCGTAATCTACTATCCTGGGAGTTACAATCAAAGGAGGAATTGGAGAAACTACTAGATTCAGTCAAGCTCCATGAAGACAGGAAGGACAAATGGTTATGGAAGCATGGCAAGGATGGTGACTATTCAACAAGGTCTGGCTATTCTATCTTGATTTCCCCTCAGGTTTTATACAGTAAATACTTGTTTGAAAGAGTATGGAACCAGTCCGTCCCAACCAAAATTTGTGGATTCAATTGGCAATTAATCTTAAATAGACTACCAACAAAAGCTAATCTATTTAAGAGAGGCATTATAAAAGAAGTAGTGGAATTGGTTTGTCTTCTATGCCGAGATCATATAGAGGATTGTAACCACCTGTTTCTAACCTGTAAGGTAACCATGCAACTTTGGATTAAATGTCTTAAATGGTGGGGTTTACAAACTGTGCTTGCTGGAAATGTGCGAGATGCTTATGTCCACCATGAAGGTCTTGCATTGACTACACGAAAGAGAATTGGTTGGGAGGTAGTATGGTTTGCTTTGACTTGGACAATTTGGCTTACTAGGAATGAAGTTTTGTTCAACCATGGAGAGGTAGATATTGACAAAATGCTTGATTTAGTCCAGGTAAGGTCCTTCCTTTGGTTGACAAATAGAAGGAAAGTCTTGAGTTTTGGTTTCTCAGATTGGCTCCTAAACCCTCATCTATGTTGCAGAAATGCTTGAACT